CCCCGGGAAGAGGTTCGGGTACTGCTGCGGATTGGCTAGCGCCTCAGCGGCCTTGCCTAGCTTCGGATCTTCCGCAAGCCATGCACGCCAGAGTTCCACCATCTCAGGAACCTTACTGGGCAGGTAGGTGCGTGCGAAGATTGCAGCCTCGGGAAAGCGCTGTGCCTTAACGAGAAGCTGAACAAACAAATAAAAGAAACCGTGACTACTAAAATAATCCCAAGTAGGCAATATTTAGTCTACTAAAAAAACTTATACCCACCTGAAGACAACCGTCGAGATTGTCGAGTAGGAAGAGAGAAAGGAAGGCCAGGTTGTCCATCTCTTCCTTTGTAGTCACCTTGGCAAGCTCCTCAATCTTTTCTGCATCACCAGCGCTGGTTGCAATAAGTAGGAAACTGGCGTAGTCCTGCGTCTTGGAGAAACACTCCTGGGCTAGTTTGAAGTCACACTCCTTGACAGCCAAATCAGCCAACTGTAGGGGGAGAATGGCAAGAGGAGTCAAAGGAAGTACATAAAGTAGTGGAAAGTATGGTAACAATCTAGTAGAGGGATCACCACGGAAAGTCAAAACCCCAGAATGATGTACTACGGGACCGGCGATAATAGGGGTTATACGGGTGGGGCATTATGGGGCGGGGGTAGGAGAGAAAATGGAAGAAATACAGCAAAAAACGGGAAATATTAGATAAACTCATTATAAAAAGCGAATATGTAGCAATTAACAAGAGCGCGATAATTGAAAAATAAATGAAACCAAATTTCGGACAGTTTGAACTGGAATCGAAATCGAGATTTCGAAAACTGGAACGCGAAACGAATCCGGCGTTGGTAAACTTTGTCGAACGCTAACCGGATCCGAAAAGTCGAATCTAATTTTTTAACCGGAGAGAGGGTACCTTACCTCCTTAAGAAAACCCATCTTTACAAACCGCTGAAGTAAAGTTTAGAAGACTGTTAACTGTGCTTATGATATATTATGAACATGAAATGCGATAAAAAAACTCGCTATACAATGGTAGAAAAAGATGTTTTTGTTTCTGTATATTTCTGTCTTTCTGTCACTAAAGATTTCCTTGAGGGGTGCAACGGAACATGGGCATAAACTGTGCTGTCTTCGCTTATATTACGAGTCAGAAGCCACTGGACCCAAATGTCGCTCATCGAGCCAGCCACTTTACTGTATACACACAATACTGGTCAACAGGACGCTTGGTAATCAAACCGAAAACACGAGTAAATTACACTGAGAAGGCCTATGCAAGACGCGGTGCT